TAAATCAGCAGTATAGGATAATACAAACCTATCTAATAAATCTAATGATTTTCACATTCTTTTAACTCAGAAGTATGATGCAAACTAAAACTACATACTGATCACACAAGAAGTATGATATGGCCTACAGCAGTATCATGATTCACTCCTTTTGATTACAGGTATAATGTAATATATAACAGCATAATAATCTCAAGCACATTTACCTTTCCTAACACACGTGAGAGAAAGGTTAAGAAAATGGCCCAGAGGCCCTGAATGCACGCGTACTAACACACATACATGCAATGAAGAACAGCTTACACTATAGCACACACTATACATGCGCCTGTATCTCTCATTGGAGTTTGGTTATCAAATGCTGAATTTATCCACTGCTGACATTTAACTGTCCGGCTCGAAGGACCAAAATAAATGTCAAGAGATTTATTCTAAATGACTCTTCTTCAGCTGAGAGTCTAAGAGTGAAGACACACACAGACGCTGCAGTTTTAACTTGCAAGGGCATTTCACAGAGCGCTCACATCAGAGAGTGGGGCCCTGTGATCAGCGCCCTGTTCTTGCACTTGTCTTTTATTTATACAGAAGGAAAATGAAAACATTTGTGTAGTGGAATGCTGATACGTGAGCATGTGCGTATGTGATTGTGCGTGTGTGTGTGTGTGCGAGGTCAGAACTGCTTGTTCAACTTCTTACTATCGCTGTGGGAAGATTCAGATAGAAATATCAGAACACGTTTTATAAAGGACAATCAGTTCTAAGCAGGGAAAAGGTCATCATGCAGTATTCTATCACATGTAAACTTATATCATTAAAAGCTTATATTGACTACTAAGTACAATTTTCCCTTAACAACTGTGATCAGTACTTTAGTTTGTCTCCTGTGTGCACTGCTGAGGCTTCATCAAAGAGGAAACCTGTCTGTGCGAGTGCTGCTACTTTAAAGTATCACAGCCCAGAGCAGGCAGTTTGCTCCGCTTCTCCTAAGTCACGTGACTCAGCAGCACCAGATAAGCTAGTGTGCTCCATAACCATGACAACACACACACACAGAGCACTCAGAGACAGGAAGTGGTTCTGTGTGATCAGGCTGAAGATGAAACACATTTATACAAGCATATGAAAACTCATGCATGAAAACGCCGAGCTACACAAGCAGAGAGAGGAGGATGGCCCCCCCTCCACCTGCCTACAGCATCCCACAGGACCCCACAGACTCAGAGGTCACTCGTCTTTAACTGTGACAGAGAGTATCCAGGTGATATTCGAGTTACTTTCAAAGTGCAACTAGATCATTCTTACTTGATCGTTTGATAATTTCTGTTGTGGGTTTTAACTCATTAATAGTCCAAACAATAACAAAATAATACCAATAATCCAAAGGGACTAATTCAATTCAAATACTTATTATTTTAAGTATTATTATTTTTTCCCATAAGAGGAAATTAATTTAGCAGCAAGGCAACAATAAGAGTAAACAAAACAATAATAAAAAGCCAAATGAACATTCCTCAGCACGTTTCTCATAAATGGCCAAAAGTCCATTTTGCCAGTGCCCTGAGAGTTTGCTGCAAGTTTTTGCTAAAAGTCCCAACCGGTTCTTGTTCTTCAGAGTCATGTTACTGAACCAGGCTGCAATACAGAAAGAAATAACAGATTCAATAAAACTTCAGTAAAACAAGGAAAGAATTTCAGATGAGACATTAAAAGATGTCATTTTCCTTAAAAAAATGCTTGTTGAAATGTCGCGGCAAAATGTCGAGGAAAAGGACCAGTTTTTTTAAATGGACTAACAATGAGGTGGAGATGTTGCTGCGAATAACACAAAAGTACAAAGTTGCAAAAGCGAGAGAAAATTAAAGAATTTGAAGAAAAGCTATCTGGAGCAAGTACAAACTGATATTAATCTTTAATAGGGCTGTCAAAATTGAGAGCAAATAAAAGCTGTATAAGGCTGCTGTATAATGTCCTCTGCTATGATTGTTTAATTGGTCACATGTTTGCATCACATGACCAAAATGCGTCATTCGAAAGTCTCAGTTTTCGCTGTCCACACTGCGACGTGAAAGCACCGTCTCAAATGTATTCGTTTTCGAGAGTGCTCAGAAGATATCAAAGTCCTCATGGAATATGTGCTCTTATTGTGAAAATCCAGGGCTCTACTTCTCCATTAGAGGTAGAGCCCTGACTCCTTCCAGGTAGGGAAAACAGTTTGAATTCAAGTGCCACTACAATAGAAACATAGTGTTAGGGCTGTGACAGGACAGAAAGCCTCCAACAAACATTTCTGCATGTTTCTAAAGTTCAGACTCCATTTCTGCTTTTACTTAATCACAACTTCCTCACTGACGCCTCTCTGGGAGTTTCCTACTTGATCAAAGAGGAACACTTTACTTTCTGAAACTCTGTGTCATATGATCGTCTCCAGCATAAACAGCACAAATTTTCCATTCACTCTAATGGACTCAAAGCTAGAGTGTTTCTTTTCCATCATTTTTGTGAGCAAAATCTGAGAATCAGCAGCAGCAGGTTTGAATTTGTTTTCTCTCAGACAGCAGTTTGTTCTTTAAAAGTTTGAACCGCTTCTGTAACTTAAAGAGACTGAAAGTTCCTTTAGGGCTTTTCTTTTTCTGCTCTCTTTAAATTATTCAGCTTTATTTGAATATTTTCCTTTTTTCACTGCTGCACTCACTACCACCCAGAGGTCGTCTCACACTTTCTCCTTATCGTCTTTTTGATGAACATTGTGGTTAAAATTCCCTCATGATGTCGATGTCGTTTTATCTCCATTTGAATTCATATTTTCAATGATAGCTGTTTAACAGCTTTATTGTGGCAGGGCATGGTTTGTGGCGCAGCTGCAGGAGAGGCTGACACACCAGAGCTCCATCAGTTCATCATGTCTCCCCTGCATAAGACGTGCCGGGACCTGAGGTTGTTGTGTGTGTGTGTGGCTGGCAGCTGCGAACAATGTGGTCGGGTCCGTCATTCGTGTGCAACAGTTATCATTTGAAAATAATTGATATATTGTACAAACAGAGTGAGCATTTGTGAGGCCTTGGAGAGAAAAGAGGAGCACAAACACTGACTGTGAGCTCACCGGCACACACACTGTGACAGTTTCAACAATCATTGTCTTTATTGAATCTGTGACCTTTGAATTTTAACTAGTTTAGAGTAAATGGTCGCTGTAATTGGACAGTCAGTCAAGAACAGTAAGGTCTTCCATGGTACTGAATCATGACTGCAGGCATCATTCATTAGGTTTCACATCTCTCTCACTGACTATGAGCCAACAAGTAAAAGAAAGTTAAAATATAGGAAGAACAGATGAAGTGATGTCACTGTGGAGAAATATGTCATAAAGAGCTCAGAAAGTCAATGTATAAAATACATTGATAAATTACATTTTAAATACCTGATCTTCTCAACAACAATCAAAGATCGCTGCTTCTTCATGGCAGCGATGTTGAATAAGTCTAGGGGAGAAGGAGCTCTGCTGCCTCAGCATTGTGGAGTGGATTGGGTGTGATGGTTGTCCATAATGGAGAGCAGTTTTTTCAGTGACCTCTGACCCTTACTGACTCCATTACCAACGCCTCTAAATTCTGACCAATGATTCTTCCACCATGTGGATTGTTTGTTGATCCTGGAGGCATCTCTGGCGCTGATGCCCACTCATCCCACGCACACCAACATAGCAGTGTCAATAACAGCTGTCAACATGGCCACCTGGGTCAGCGGCATCACCTTCCTCACATTAGTGGTGAATAGCTTGTTATACTGTTATACATTTTTCTGCATTCCATCTGCTGTTATGCCTGACTTATTGGCCCATTAAGACTCACTGGTGTTAACTTTATTCTGATGGCAAGATGGAGTTCACAGAGTTTGTAATTGTAGAGAAATAATCAATTAATTTTGAGCATACAATCTTCAAGCAGAAACCTCAGAAAGCCTTTTGGGTTAAAAAGGTTAAAGGTCTTCAAGAGTGCCATATATTATATATTATATACTATTTATTTATGAGTGAAGTATGTATGTGTATATATGTATATATTGTACTATTCTTAGTTAGTTAGTGTATTGTCTGTCTTGTCTTAATGTTGGTTTAAAATGGAGCACTGTAACAAAAAATAATTTCCCCCAGGGATTAATAAAGTATTCTGATTCTGATTCTGATTCTGATTCAGAAAAGCTTTCACCTACGACAACTCCACAAACTACAACACAACATGTGTGCATGATGGATAACTTGACAGCCTCACAAATATGAAGCCTAAAATACTGCATTGTTGCAGCACATGTAATGCGAGTCTGTTAACAATAACAAAGGCTAAGGGATATTTGGAATTTGGAAGGGAAATGAGTGCAATCAAACAACAATATATCACCTACAGTATTATATTAATTTTATTTTATGACATCTGGCCCTCAAAATATCTGCTGAGAAAGATTCTGGCCCTTGTTCAAATAAGATAAGATAAGATAAGATAAGATAAGATAAGATAACCTTTATTAGTCCCACACGTGGGAAATTTGTTTTGTCACAGCAGGTAGTGGACAGTGCAAAGTTATGACGCAAAAATTAGAATACAATAAGAATATCTACAGTACACAGCTGTACAGAATAGAATAAAATAATATACTATATACAGTAGAATAAAATAGAATAAAAATATACAATAAGATAAAAATAGAATACGAATGCTATATACAACTGAGTAAAAATACAACGATGCCAGAAAAGATTATAGCACTTAGTGTTATTGCACATGTGTGGATGTGTGTGTTTGTTCAGTTAAAGTCTTTGTTGTGGAGTCTGACAGCAGTGGGGAGGAA